ATTTCGCACTACACCGAAATACCTAGTTAAACAATAGAGTGTTTCTGTCGAGGAACTATCGGCTGATAGTTGCCCCGCGGAAAGTTGATGTTCATAAAACAAATATTTCCCGAGAAGTGAAGTTTCGAGGACAAATATGCTCGTTTTAAGAACATCAAATTTCGAAGGGGAACTATCAGGCCGATAGTTCCGAGACATAAACACTCTATTGTCTTTATTGTTCGCCACTAAATTTTCTTCCGCGCGCCAGTTTAAAAACAATCAAAACCCACTAAATGCAAGTCGACTCAAAAGGCACACGCATAACGTATGCCAGACTGGTTACTCAACAGTGGAGGATCATAAACGCGATATTTTCATCAAGAATCAAAGTCCAGTGTTTACGTGGCAGTTTTGCTTTCGCATGGCTAAAAAATTAATGAAACGCCGCGGCCCAGCGCAAAATGTTGATGTAGGAGAAGTCAGTCGAAAACCGATTGAAATAAATATTACGATCGAGTAAAAGCTCCCTTAACCAGTAGTGTTTACAATTACAACCACCTACCACCCCTCCCTGAGTAATAACACTCTTCCCCCACCCCTCCTTCAGTACTTGTCGACTGCACATACCCCTCCCTGAGTACTAAACGTGTGCCTCCCCCTTATAAAATCATCCAAAAAATAGTCTAGTCCAGTCCAGTCTATATTTTACCCTATGCCAGTCGCAACCACTTTCAGTTATTTGTTAAATTAAACTATGGTCAGTAGCCAAAGTTCATTGCAAAGTCCAGATGCGGAAACTCAATAAAATTAGTTATTTCTTTCGCGGTTGATGGATAAGAGCTATTTACCATCGATTGCATTCGTGCGCTAAAGGAATTATCGATGAATTATAAGTAGTAGAGCAGCGCAATTAAGGGAACAAAATTTTTTACATGATCTCATGAGAGGAGTGAATTTAACCCTCAGCAGTTAAGCGATTGTGGAGATATTGACATTATAAATATTTTCAGGCTTCTATTGTCCCCAGGATCAGGTCTGTATCATACCATGCCCAACGGGAGCGTACTGTGTCAGAGATAAACTAGTTAACGCCAAGGTAAGATTTCTTTGTTTTTTTTTTTCTTTGTTGCTGTTGTTGTTTTTTTTTCTTTGTTGTTGTTGTTGTTTTTTTCATTATCAACTCAAGACAGAGTGAGAGGAGCGGTGGCCTAATGTACAGTTTGTTGCACTCAGGGTCGATAAGTACGGGTTCGACACTGGCCGAGTCTTTTGTGTTAAGTTTGTGGGCATAACACTCTGCCCAAGAGTGTGAATGGGTACCGGGGAATTGTCGGGGAAGCCTAAAGAAGTTGATGAAATGCTGGAGAGTAACCTTGCGATGGCCTAGTCACACGAGCCACTTCTTCTTGGTAGACACAAGAGGATTGTGTCTAGCAAGAAGAGGGGAAGAGATGACCAAATTAAAGGGACTTGCAAAGACTTAGCAGAATTGTATTTGTAGTAGAATTCAAAATTTCGCGGAGTATTGTACAACGAACATCGTTTTCTTTATCTTGGAGTATGGTTTCCTCTTCGGGATTATTAAATTTTCCTTCGCTTTGATATAGCTTTCGATGTCTTGATCCATAACTATGAGTCACTTGTTGCAAGATTTACATATTTTAGCCTCTCTCGTAAAAAGATTGAAAGCTGCAAATTGCAGAGCTCGGAAGATCCAGACCGCTGGAGCGCACGGAATTAGCCAATCAGGTTCGAGGACTTAGGATTCCGGAACGCTGAGATGCTTGAGAAAAAAATAAAAATAAAAAGGGCTCATATGAAAGTGATTTTTGAAATATTGCTGGAATACCTCGAGAGTGGGGTTATGGAGGCTGTTAAATAGCTAAAATAAGTTTTTGGACAGAGGCCTAAATAAGCAATTTGACTTCCCCTATAAGTGGGGGAGAGGGGGGGGGGGTTTAAGGGGAATTCGGATTCTTAGACAAAATAATCTTTTATTAATAAGTATCCATGCAAGAAATACAATGCTTATAGCTTTTGTGTTTTTAATTGTTTATTGAGGTTACTATGTTCAAAGTGACGATCTCTACGATTTCATATCTGTAATGACAGAGCCTGTAGTTTGCGTTACTGACGAATAAGTTTCATCCAATTTTCTAGAAACAATCGCCTCAATTGTGCCGCGAGAGTGGAAAATGCTGCAGTCCTTCCCAGTCGATCCCTATCTTTGATCCTCGAACACCTTCGAAGTATGTTTGCCCAGGGGCCCAGCTCCCAGTTCCGTGTCCTCAAGGCAACTTCTGTCCAAACGTCACCGTCCAAAAGACGTGTCCAGGTGGATATTTTTGTCGGAAAGGAAGCGTGGAACCACAAAACTGTCCGGTACGAGTATCTCCTCTCGTCATAGATAGTTTATATAATTCGCCTTATTTAACAATTATTNATGAAAACTGGCCATCGTAAAGGACTAACGCTCGAAACGTCAGCTTTGAACCCTTGACGACGGTTAAATTATATTATTAAAAACTGGATCATTGGATAATGCAATTCAAGACTTTTTATTGGCTTAGCCATTATGGTATATCAGCCAATATACCATAATCTACAAATATGGTAAGCGTACGCGTCAGCTTAAAATCAAAAGGGAGCTAAAAAATCCAGTTTCTTCTTACAAAATAATAATTTCTTGAGGGCGTTTTTAATAAAACAATTATTCCACTCGCGCTTGTTGGATATGAGATGATTATAGCCAACTCGGCGCTACGCGCCTCGTTGGCTATCTATCATCTCATATCCAACGCGCGCTCGTGGAATAATTGTTAATTATAAGATAATGAACATCGTGCGCATCGTCTGATTAGTCATTAGTATCTAAGCAGATACTTTGTCAGGTAGTAAGGCCCGCATGTAACTAATTACGTCTTAAAAGCAATAGAACGCATTTTCCGGGTTGTAGGGAGAGCACTTCGAAAGGTGATAAATGACACGCCTTCGGCTCGTGATTTATAAGCATTCCAGTCGTGTTCTCCTAACATCACAAGTGGCTGTTATAGAGTCCGAAAAAATGTCCTCTATTGCTTAAATAGTGCACATCCAAAGGTAACTCTAAAGTGGAAACAACTGTTACAGACAGATGCGAGATGAACGGGAGTTTTTGAAGCTACTTGTCCATGTGAAATCCAAGTTTAAGACTATGAAATCCTTTATATTCATGGAAGTACTTTAAGCTCGAAATAAGCTCGGCTAATTGTTACTCCGCTGGTGCATTATATGGCGTATTTTCATTTTCGAGGAAGAAATTGTTGTAACTGGATTTAATAAGGATCAAATTCGTGCTTGCCGTGGCCTCTCAGATAGACCGTTCCAAAGCCACAAACCTATCGAAGTGAAGCTGTTTTTGACAAGGTTGATTTAGGGCAGTGAATTTGCTGCTTTGCTGTCCACGTCGAAGCTGCAATACTTATCCTAAGCTTTTAGTTTTGCAACTGTGTTAAACATAATTCACGTAAGGTAATACTTGATCAATTCGTCTTCCATGGTTCGTTGTGAATATAGGCGTAGCAGACACGTATAGGATGCCATCGCTGTTGTGGCACAACATCCCTTGTTGAGCACTGTGTTATTTTGGTTTATTTTAGATTCTCTCCATTTGCAAGAAAGGGTCTTCAGCTCCTGTTAGCGCTCCTGGTGGTGTTTTACTGATTTTTGGAATATTACTGGTCATGCTGTTGCTTTTGTACTGTTTCCACCACGAAGAAAAACTTGTAGAACTTTTTGAACGTTATGTGACGAAGAAACACTACGTGAGAATGGAAGAGAGGAGCACTTTGGATAAATACCGAGAGGAGTCAGAGCCCAAGACACAGACCATCACCATTCGCTTTGAAAACCTTAGCCTGTCACTTAAAAAGGTAGCTAGCTGGTTATGCAATGGGTGAACGGAGGGAAGGATGTCTTTTGGAATGTTCGCCGAAGAGTGTTTTTCTTACTTCTAAATCTGAAGACACTAAGTAGTGGCGCACTATCAGCAACGAAAATGATCTTGTTGTTGTAGTGTTTAGACATTTCGTTACTGTTATATAGACTTATCGGTGCGCAAAGAATCATGGTACTGTAACATGGCGTCCTCGCTGGTGTAGATTAAAGAAACCTATTGAGTTTATCTGCACTTATCTGCTTATCTGGGTGTTAACAGGCCATCATTACAGTTATTGCTACTGCTCCCACTGCCACTAC